TTTGTGCACTTTAATGTGGCGAGAGATCGCTGTGTTTATCTTAAAAAATAAAGTCAGTAGTTAGCTAAAAAAAAAAATATATATAGAAAAGAGCATTTTGATAAATAAATGCACTATTGCATATTCATAAAATTTTTGCTGAATCTTGACATTATTTAATATTTTTGAAAGGGGGGTGCTGAGGTGTTCTTGAAGGGCGTTTGGTTAAGGCGAGTTTACACCAAAGATGTATGAGCTGAAACTTGCAAAAGAAAATGGTCTGGCACGTCCTAACGCCGTCTCTACACTGGATGCATCAAAGCGCACTTTCTATATCCGTTTGTCAACTTGTCGGTAGCGCAAGCGAGTGGAGCGCGGCAGGCAGAGAACGCGGCATCCGTTTATGTAGCGCTTGCGCGCCGATACAGAACCACTTATTATAATCAGGATCTGTGCGCTTTGACGCAACGTGTCGCGACGTTAGCGCCCGGTGTAGTAGTGTTAGTTAGGGTAAGCCGCTAGTTTACACCAATACTACCGCTTCTAAACTATAATTTCCATAGCTTTCTGTAGCGCAGCTGCCAGACTTAGCAATAGCAAACATTTAGACGCGTTAAAGCACAGTATGCTTTTTCTTTTTTAGAAAAATTAATATGAATGCTTTTTGTTTGCTGTTTGGCTGTGTTTGGTTTGAATGCCAAATTTCAAGAGTTCATTCAACGCTCATAAATATAGCCTAATTTATATTCACGTGGCTTTTTTGCTCCTTGGGAAACTAATGATAATGGTTTTTAAAGTCCAGTCAAATCAAATATGTCATGAATGTCATGTGGCATTTCGATTATCCGGGAGTGACACGCTGCCAAGATGGCGACGGCCGCCTCCGCCCAATTTTGAGCTTCAAAAACGCTCTTCGGAAATCTACGGGTGACGTCACAGACACTACATCCATGTTTTTATACAGTCTATGGTTAAAATGCATGCAACAAATGCATTATTTAATGTAGGTTAAATAAACCTACCTAGCTGCTGCATTTTGGACCAGCTGGAGTTTTATTAAGCGTGCAGAACAACCACCCAATAAAGCTTTACAATAATCTAACCTTGAGGTCATAAACGCATGAATTAACATTTCTGCATTTGACATTGAGAGAATAGGTCGTAATTTAGATGTATTTTTGAGATGGAAAAATGCAGTTTTACAAATGCTAGAAACGTGGCTTTCTAACGAAAGATTGCTATCAAATAGCACACCTAGGTGTGAGTGAGTGAGTGAGCGAGTGTGAGTGACTGAGTGTGAGTGTGTGTGTGAGTGAGTGACTGCGTGTGAGTGTGTGTGTGTGTGAGTGAGTGACTGAGTGTGAGTGTGTGTGTGTGTGAGAGTGTGTGTGTGTGTGAGTGAGCGAGTGTGTATGTGAGTGAGTGAGCGTGTGTGTGTGTGTGTGTGTAAGAGAGTGTGTGAGTGAGCGAGTGTGTGTGTGAGAGAGAGAGAGTGTGTGTGTGTGTGAGTGAGTGACTGACTGAGTGTGTGAGAGAGTGTGAGTGAGTGACTGCGTGTGTGTGAGTGAGTGTGTGTGTGTGTGTGTGAGTGAGCGAGTGTATGTGAGTGAGCGTGTGAGAGTGTGTGTGAGAGTGAGTGTGTGTGTGTGAGTGAGCGAGTGTATGTGAGTGAGCGTGTGAGAGTGTGTGTGTGAGAGTGAGTGAGTGTGTGTGTGTGTGTGTGTGAGGGAGCGAGTGTGTGAGACTGAAAACAGTCCAGTCCTCTAATGAGTGATGAGAATCAAGAGCCAGCGATTCTCACTGAGAGATTCCAGCAGCCAATCAGAGACGAGCATCAGTCTGTGGAGACCCGCCCACTCTCCCTCTCTCTCTCTCTCTGTCAGTATTTTTAGCACCGATTCTCTCTAGACTCTCTGTCCTGGTTCCGTCACTGATCTCCAGCTCATCTCTACTAGTATAACACTGACATGTTCCTCGATGATGAACCCGAGGCCTGATTGCTCATGTGTTGTTCTGTGATGGTTCTGTCAGTGTGTGACATGAGCTGGTAATCCAGCAGTAAGTGCGGGATGTTTGTTTAAGGAACCCCCGTCAGACCGGCTCACCGTCAGCTCATGTTTTCTGGAAGTGTGATCTGCAAACGTACAGACGGGCGTTTGTCCAAGGTTCGCCTCTGTTTGCCGTGATGCACCACTGCTCCTCGGGAGATGTTGGAGTTTCCACTGTATTTACGCATGCATATATGATGATTACAGCGTTTCCCTCGATTTGTAATGAGACGTGTTTGTAGACCTGATCTCACTGAACCTTAAAGGATTCCCTGCTGTTTTCCACTCTAATAAAAGCTTGAGGGTTTAACTCTTGCAGCTGAAGATACGGAGACATAACTATTGTAACTTTACTTCTGCAGTTTAAAGTAAAATAATTCATATATATTTATATAATTTAATCAATAATTAATGTTATGAAATATTCATTTTTTACAGTGCAGATTTTATATTACAATATTAATATATTTTTAAGTGATATAATAATAATAATAATAGTTATTATTGTTGTTAATTATTAATAATAAACAGACAGAGTAACTCTTCTTCTTTTGTGTTCCACAGAATACAGGTTTGAACATGACTGAGTGATGATTTATGGGTGAACTGTCCCTTTAAGATGATCAATAGAGTGTGTGTTTATATGTGTGTGTGTGAGAGTGTGCACGTGAGCGTGTGTGTACGTGTTTGTGTGTGTGAATGTAATGTCCATTAGGGATGCAGCGATTAACCGGTTTCGCGATTAACCACGATTTAAAACGTCACGGTTAATTAATCGTAAAGGTTCCCCTAAACCGAGTGTTTCTGTTACACGGAACGGAACTGTTGCAGCTTGCGCAAAACAAAAAAAGCTACACTAGCGGTGCACCAGCTTAAAATGACGTGCTTATCAGAGACACGGAGGCTACTACACACACTAGATGAACTGACAGAGGGACCAAACAGCGAAGCTTTATTTCCAGCAGAGAAATGCCTGTCGATAGTGTGGGACCATTTTGGGTACACCAAGAATGTCCACGTCATTTAAATATTGCTGTAAAAAACTGCTGCTAAAGAGCGAATACATAAGGGATAATGCACGGCTTGCTGTATATTTAACGATTTTAATGCACGACGTAAAGGCAAGAACCACCTGACGCGAAGCTACAGCTCGTTAGCTCCGCATTCTGCCCGCTTCAGATCAGAAAGAGATGAAATAGTGCAGTAAGAGCACATTTATTTGAATTAATTAATTATAACATTTAGCTACTTGAATTAATTATTCGAGAGACCGAGAGAGAGAGAGAGAGAGAGAGGTGACAGTTGCCTGTGGGAATTAGCCTACCTGCGTCTGTGCATCTCTCCAGTAGGCTATTTAATCTATTTTATTAATAAAAGTCACGGGGCAGCATTCTCAAGAAGTTTGTGTCCTCCTGAATGTTTGTACACGATCTCCGATCTCACAAACCAAAATAATAGAAGTATGTTTCCCTGTGTGTTTCTGTGTGAGTGTGCGTGAGTGTGTGCGCATTTGTGTGTGTGTATTTCCGCGTATGTTTCCATGCGTGTTTGCGTGTGTGAGTTTGCAAGTATGTTTCCATGTGTGTTTGCGTGTGTGAGTTTGCAAGTATGTTTCCATGTGTGTTTCTGTGTGAGTGTGCGTGAGTGTGTGCGCATTTGTGTGTGTGTATTTCCGCATGTGTCCATTTCTGTGTTTGTGTGTGAGTTTGCATGTACATTTACATGTGTGTGTGTTTCTGTGTGTGCACGTTTGCGTTTGTGTGAGAGTGTGTGTGCGCGTTTCTGTGTGTGTGCATATGCATGTCTTTTTTTGTGAGTGTGTGTGTTTGATTTCAGCAGCTGATGTTGTTGTTTGTTGTAATGGTTTGTATTTGCATCATCGTGAACAAAAACACTTTCATACGTACCCTGGTTATTCTTTATAGTAAGTTAGTTTTTAGATAAACCTCAAAAACCTTTACAGTTGTTTTTTATTTTTATGTGTTTTATATAGGGTCATGTATTCATTTACTTCTATTTTCACTTGTTTCTTGCCATGAATGTAAACATGCCACTGAACTGAAGTGATCATTCAGTACTAGGGTATCGCTCAAAGTACCACGGTATTGTGATGTGATCAGCGGTGCATGTGTTTCTCTGGTAATGAGTTTGATCAGCGCAGTAAACCGTGAGCGATTGAACATAAAGGGCACGTGGAACTGAAACGGCTCTTTTTTTTTCCAGAATTGAAAGGAATTTGCTCTAAAAGCAGCACACGTCTGTCATCTGCTGCTGGAAGTACTGTTATCCCAGCGCATGCTGTTGTTCTGCCGTGTTTAGCTCGTGGTTTCACTCTCCTTTTAAAGGCATATTCTCACGGCGCTCCTGAAATACGTTTGGCTAAATCGGAGCGTTCTGTGTGAGTGTGCGTGAGTGTGTGCGCATTTGTGTGTGTGTATTTCCGCATGTGTCCATTTCTGTGTTTGCGTGTGTGAGTTTGCAAGTATGTTTCCATGCGTGTTTGCGTGTGTGAGTTTGCATACAGTCTATGGGTTGCACACATTCTTAAAAATCTATTTAAGGAGCTTTTCCTTTAAGGAGGTTTTAGGTTAGGATATACTGCTATAATTGTTTTCTACTGAAACTAAACAAAAGGGAGAAATGTTGCCTTGCCAACTAGCTTAAATAAATATATATATTTTTTTTTACATGTTTAAAATTTCATTTCAGTTAATGTTTATTTCAAGTCCTTTTTATGGTTTTAGTTTTAATTAATGATAATAATCCTGAATTGGACAAAGATTTGAGAATTGAGAAATCAATTTACCTCTCATGTTCTGAGAAGTTTAGAATAAAGAACTGATAAACTGTAAATATGCTCCTTGAATTCAATGCAAGTTGCCAAATCTGCCAAATGCATGAATGTAATTAAGACGGGTCTTCATGAAGTATCACTGAACGCCTGACTGAATCCGTCTCTCTTTCCTCTTTCAGCCGGAGAACCTACAGAAGACGTGGCTGCGGGAGTTTTGCCAGGTAAGAAACTCTTCTGGGCTGCGTTCAGCTCCGACAAAACGGTGCAAAACGTGTTTTAAATGGAAACGGTGGTGCGTTGAACTCTGTTCTGATGACGCAAGAGTTGCAGCTATGGCAGCTGAGAAGGACATTCTTTCTGTTCTTTCTGAAGAATTCTCAGAGCCTGATGAAATCAGTATAAATACGTGTTTAATACTGCAAAATACACTCGATGTTACAGTCACTGCCCTTGCCCTCCAGAATAAAAGAGAACATCCCAATCCAGTGAAGGGGTTTGTGCAAACTGTGGTTCCTAATTATTGTGATCCAACATTTTCCTCACATTTCAGGATGAAAAGACAAACATTTCAGGTGAAGGATGAGTTTGCAAGTATGTTTCCATGCGTGTTTGCGTGTGTGAGTTTGCAAGTATGTTTCCATGTGTGTTTGCGTGTGTGAGTTTGCAAGTATGTTTCCATGTGTGTTTGCGTGTGTGAGTTTGCAAGTATGTTTCCATGTGTGTTTGCGTGTGTGAGTTTGCAAGTATGTTTCCATGTGTGTTTGCGTGTGTGAGTTTGCAAGTATGTTTCCATGTGTGTTTGCGTGTGTGAGTTTGCAAGTATGTTTCCATGTGTGTTTGCGTGTGTGAGTTTGCAAGTATGTTTCCATGTGTGTTTGCGTGTGTGAGTTTGCAAGTATGTTTCCATGTGTGTTTGCGTGTGTGAGTTTGCAAGTATGTTTCCATGCGTGTTTGCGTGTGTGAGTTTGCAAGTATGTTTCCATGTGTGTTTCTGTGTGAGTGTGCGTGAGTGTGTGCGCATTTGTGTGTGTGTATTTCCGCATGTGTCCATTTCTGTGTTTGTGTGTGAGTTTGCATGTACATTTACATGTGTGTGCGTTTCTGTGTGTGCACGTTTGCGTGAGAGTGTGTGTGCGCGTTTCTGTGTGTGTGCATATGCATGTCTTTTTGTGAGTGTGTGTGTTTGATTTCAGCAGCTGATGTTGTTGTTTGTTATAATGGTTTGTATTTGCATCATCGTGAACAAAAACACTTTCATACGTACCCTGGTTATTCTTTATAGTAAGTTAGTTTTTAGATAAACCTCAAAAACCTTTACAGTTGTTTTTTATTTTTATGTGTTTTATATAGGGTCATGTATTCATTTACTTGTATTTTCACTTGTTTCTTGCCATGAATGTAAACATGCCACTGAACTGAAGTGATCATTCAGTACTAGGGTATCGCTCAAAGTACCACGGTATTGTGATGTGATCAGCGGTGCATGTGTTTCTCTGGTAATGAGTTTGATCAGCGCAGTAAACTGTGAGCGATTGAACATAAAGGGCACGTGGAACTGAAACGGCTCTTTTTTTTTCCAGAATTGAAAGGAATTTGCTCTAAAAGCAGCACACGTCTGTCATCTGCTGCTGGAAGTACTGTTATCCCAGCGCATGCTGTTGTTCTGCCGTGTTTAGCTCGTGGTTTCACTCTCCTTTTAAAGGCATATTCTCACGGCGCTCCTGAAATACGTTTGGCTAAATCGGAGCGTTCTGAATCCCTGGAGGGAGCGTAAACCAGGCCGGATCGGTGGAGAGGCGCACGCGCTGCTATTTCCATCAGGCCTCCAGTGGATATCCCCTCTAATTAACTGCAAATTAACTTCTGATAAGCTGGTGTTTTTAGCTGGCGCTCTAGAGGAGCTCAGTGCTGCTTGAGCTGATTTTACTGAAGGTCACGGCTCAGATCTGATGATGAACCCGCAGTGACCCGCGGCTCTTCTGCTGCATGTGTGTGTGTTTGCAGTTACAGAATGTGATTCAGTTCTCTTTGGCTTTTAGGATTTTTCAAGCTTTTAAGGAATATTTTGAACATTTTGAATGAAACGGATAAATTACACTTGATATAAAGCAGTTTTTTTTTGTTTTTGATTTATATTATGTAATATTTGTGACTGTGTGCGTACGTGTGTGTGCGTACGTGTGTGTG